AGCAATTCAAACTGCCTGTCTCTTTTCTACTCACCCTCTGCTTCCTTCACAAGCAGCCAGCAGTTCCTCCCACAACCTCTGGGAATTTGAAATGCAAACTTCCATGGACATATCCTGTCCTCACAAGGCTTAAAAGCTGACCCAGATAAGATTAGGGCCATTGTGGACATGCCACCACCTGCCAATGCCAAATTGGTGCAGAGGTTTATCAGTTTTGTCACATACTTTGCAAAATTCCTGCCACACCTGTCTGAGGTGTTGCCAGTGTTAACCTATTCACCTCGTCTCAAGCCATTGAGACGTCTTCTGAACAAAGATGTGGTTTGTCACTGGCTTCCCAAGCATGACCAGGCAGTACAGGAGATAAAACACTTGGTCACCATTGCCCCAGTGTTAAAATACTATGTCACAAAGCCTGTTACAACTCAAAGTGACTCAAGCAAAAATGGCCTAGGATGTTGCCTATTGCAAGGTCAGCCAGTTGCATATGCATCCAGGGCTCTTTCATCTGCTGAGTTAAATTACGCTCAAATTGAATTGGAATGTTTAAGTATTGTATTTGCCTGCCAGCGTTTCCATCATTATCTTTATGGTCAGGATATAATCATAGCCGAAAATGATCACAAGCTGCTAATAGCCATATTCAAGAAGCCCCTTTTGTGTGCTCCCAAGCGTTTGCAGAGCATGATGCTTAACTTACAGCATTACAACCTCAATGTTGTCTACAAGCCAGGACATGAAATGTATATCAGTGATACCCTGAGCAGGGCTATGTCATATCAGGTGATACCTGGAGGAGAGCATGAGCATCATATGGTTTGTTTGTTGCAACAGGAATAAACCTTCTTTGCCAAAGTCAATCAAGCAGATTATCTTAACATCACAAATCAGCAGCTACATCAGCTCAGGCAGCACACAGACACTGACTCAGCCTTACCGGCACTGAAGGCTATCGTTCTGAGTGGGTGGCCAGATGAGAAGGAGGCAGTTCCTTCAATTGTGAGGGAATATTGGTCCTTCAGAGATGAGATCAGCGTACAAAATGGTATCTTGTACAAGGGTCCAAGTGTCATAGTGCCAAAGTCACTGAGATCAGAGATGTTATTGCATATACACTCAAGCCACATTGGGGATGAGGCATGCTATAGACAAGCTCATGACACTCTTTACTGGCCTAACATGCAAAGCGAAATCAAAGACTTTGTTAGCAATTGTCCCACTTGAAATGAATATGCACATCTGCAACAAAAAGAAACCATGATGTCACATGAGATACCGTCACATCCTTGGCAGATTGTCAGTACATATTTGTTCAACTATGCAGGAAAAGAGTACCTGGTATTAGTTGATCATCATTCAGACTTTTGGGAAATTGAACTTCTTCCTGACTGCTCAGCTGAAACTACCATTAAGAGATGAAAGGCTCAGTTTACACGTCATGGCCAACCAGATAAAGTGATCTCTGATAATGGTCCTCAGTTCACAAGCCTACATTTTAGGAAGTTTGCCGCTGAGTTGGAGTTTGAGCATGTGACTTCACCACACCACCCACAAGTTAATGGCAAAGCTGAATCAGCTGTGAAGATTGTTAAGAACCTATGCAAGAAAGCACACAGTGATGGTAAATACCCATGGAAAGCCATTCTACATTGGAGAAATACTCCAACTGAAGGCATGGAAAGTAGTCCGGCACAGAGACTGATATCAAGGAGACTAAATACATCCTTACCAGTGGAAAATAAGCTGCTTGAGCCCTGTGATACAAGGGGTCCCAGAAAAGTTACAGTGTCACATTCCGGTGTCCTGCGTAAAGAAAAGCCAGCAACACAGGTCGATGTGATAATGTTTATCTGGAAACGTGGACCCGGCATGAAGCGACCAACCAGAAAGGAATCAAAGTTTGTGCTACCGTGGTTATTTCACCACCCCTTATATCGTACTCCAACAACCCCCTCCTCGTGTTAGACCCCTCCCCTCCCACTGACAGCTTGCTTCCAATATGGCCACCGCAGTCTGGCAACGCCCCCAGCCGCCCATCCCGACTTAGCACACCCAGCCTATGGCTTCCACCCACGATCTGACAATCAGCTTTTTTCCTGTGATCTGACAATCAGCTATTCCTCCATGAGCCAACAATCAGCTGTTCCTTCGTGAGCCGACAATCAGCTGAGTAAAGTCCAGAAGCCTTGTGGATGCAGGATCCTTGCGGTACGGAACGCAGGCATCCAGCTGGCAGCTCCTCCCCACCCGAATGGCGGCCCTGGGCTGTCTGGCGGTACAGGGCTGACATGCGGCCCGCTACCAGGGGGACGACACCTGGAAGACAAAGGACACCATTAGACAC